AGTTGTTCTTGAGACTATTTGTGATGACCGTACTTCTCCTTAATTGTCTTATCATCGTTAATATGATGTGTTGTAGCACCTACGTTTCCACTTTGATAATAATTAAAGCTTTGAAGGCTTCTGAAGTTTGTTGGCCATTAACTGCTTTTGATTCAACAAAACAAGAATGTTGTAAATATCTCCGTACATCATATTTGGCCACACACGCATGTCGTCAATCCATGTTTCGACTTTATGATCAACTGGAGGTTTCCATTCTTTTGCTACTAATGATATATGTTGATTTTCTTCGTTAAGATTTTTTCACGATTGTAATTGCGGCACTATTACGACGACACCTAGTAGTCGCGTCACTAGTTAAGGGGGATAATAAAAAAAAACCTGTCTATAAGACAAACGTTTTTACAATTCACATATGTAAAAATGCATTTTTATCAAACAAATATATACAAGTTAAGTTGAAAAGTTAGTAGCCAGCCTGTTTCTCTTGACAATCACTTTCAAAACATAAAGCGATTCACCATCAGAAGAGTTCCCAATTTTATTCGGGTACGCTTTGAGGTACACATTTTTGAAGTTTTGCAGTATGAAAAAATTGGAACCGGAAGAGCTTACTTGAATATGGAGGATGGCATCGCAAAATATTTGACTCTGTCTATGGTAGAAGACAAGAATGAAGAAATTGAAGACGACAGTATTGATTCTCTAAAAGCATCTTTTGGTGTCCCGGATCGTAAACTTTCAATGTTTTTATGGCCCATTTATGGGCATTATGTTTTCTGGTCTGTGCGTCCGTTCGTGCGTACGTTCGTTCGTTCGTCCGTCCGTCCCGCTTCAGGTTAAAGTTTTTGGTCGAGGTAGGTTTTTGATGAAGTTGAAGACCTATCAATTTGAAACTTAGTACACATGTTCCCTATGATATGATCTCTCTAATTTTAGTGCCAAATTCAGAAATTTGTTCCCATTTTCAAGGTCCATCGAACATAGAAAATTATAGTGCGGATGGGGCATCCGTGTACTATGGGCACATTCTTGTTAAGTTTTTTTCCAACATTGTCACGTTTTGGTTGAGCACTTAAATCCATGTTTAAAACAAATATATATACTTTTATAAATTTTCATAAGCGAACATTGCATGCTGCCATGATGCGAGCTAGCACATGTGAGTAATAGAATCGAGGCTGCGGGAAGGTGGAGCTAGGAACACGTGTAGCGGAGACAAAGAAAGCGTCGAGTGTTGGAAGGCTGTGCTTATAACACGTGTATGAGTAGACAACTAATGACGCACAATGACTTATCCAAGTCGCTAAAATACAATTTATCCTAATTAGACCTTAGATCATTAAGATGAAGAATTTCCATGCTTTTTTATAACTTGGTACCTTGTGTGTCTTTGAATGTAATCCAGTTTTCTTCTTTCATTTTGTGTATCTTTGTCGGTAAGAATAACATTCTCACTTTCGGTTTCCTTACTGTCATTTAGATCCTTGATTTCCGATGCTAACATGTCCTTGTGCTCTTGATAAAAGTGCCATCTGATAGCTGTTTTGTGATGATATGTTCTTTTTCCCGAAGAACAGCGACATGATTAAAGTCTTTTTTTTTTACGGTTTCAAAATGTTACAAATCTTCTCTTTAATTTTGACCAGTATCTGCTTCTTTCGGCATGTACAAAAAAAAACTGCTAGAAACTGAAACTGGATTTCTTAAAAAGACTAAGAAAGGGGCATGTTCTAATACAGCTTGTTCTTGAAGTTTATGCACCATATGACCTTGATCTTGTGGGGTTTTTTTCTTCCACCATTTGTTCTAATGAAACGGGAGTTTAAAATTTCTATACATTGCTGAAGCGCAAAGTGACTTTATCTAGCATTTGGACATTCAAAGGAATACTTGCGATCACGTTTTGCTATTTGTTGCTCTTCATTTTTGTACTTGTTTTATACTTACAGACACTATTCACTCAAAGAATATGTGTGGCATTTTGAATGACATGCCAATGACAATTCGCAAAGGCACTGCATCAGTTAATGACCATAATCTAGCATCATTGGTAAATAATACTTTGTTTTCAAAGGATAATAAGACAAAACATGTATTAACAAATACTGCTTAACAATATACCCAATCAGTTTGATGAAACTTTCAAAAATCTGTAACACCTCATTTCATTGACCTAAAAATATGGCACATTAAATTCAGAAGAATAGTCAGCTATGAAAGGCACCGAATTGACAAATGTAAACCAAAACAAACAAGCAAAGTCGATTTGGTAACGTGTAGCAATTTAAATATCAAAATATACCTAGCTACATGTATTAGGATCAAATACATTGCTTACCCTTCCGGAGCACCTACGATCACCCGCAGTTTTTGGTGGGGTTCCTGTTGCTTAATCTTTAATTTTCTATGTTGTGTCTTCTGTACTATTATTTGCCTGTATGTCTTTTTAATTTAAGCCATGGCGTTGTCAGTTTATTTTCAATCTATGAGTTTGACTTTCCCTCTTGTATCTTTCGTCCCTCTTTTGTCCAAATGGCCTTAATAACTGGCAGACCTGATGCTGGTATATTTTGAGAGGATACAAAATGTATGGAAGCTCAATAGTTATCAAAGGTACCAGGATTATAATTTAATTCACCAGACGCGCGTTTCGTCTACATAAGACTCATCAGTGACGCTCAGATCAAAATAGTTATAAAGCCAAACAAGTACAAAGTTGAAGAGCATTGAGGATCCAAACCTTCAAAAAAGTTGTGCCAAATACGGCTAAGGTAATCTATTGGGCGTCTGGGTAGAAATGTTTACCAGGTCAAAATGTATCTGCCTAGATATTTTTAGACCAATCTGGCAATCCATTGTTTGTTTACTGCCCCTAAATTGGTAGTTTTAAGAAAATTTTGCAGATTTTGGTTATTACCTTGAATATGATTATAGATAAGCGATATACTATAAACAGCAATAATGTACAGCAAAGTAAGGCATACAAATAAGTCAAAAATGGGTAATTGACCCCTTAAGGAATTATTGCCCTTTATAGTTTATTTTTAATAATTTTCTTAAATTTTATAATTTTTTGTAAATTTTTACAAAATATTTTCCACTGTAACTACTGGGCCAAGTTCATTATAGATAGAGATAATTGTAAGCAGCATGAATTTCAATAAAGTAAGATCTACAAACACATCACCATCACCAAAACACAATTTTATCATGAATCCATCAGTGTCCTTTGTTTAATATGCACATAGACCAAGGTGAGCGATACAGGCTCTTTAGAGGCTTGGTGTTGGGCACCACAACCCTGAATTGCACTAAAATGTACATAGCGACCATTTGGAAATGAGCAACCTTTTATTTTTATTACTGTTGAAACTTTTGCATATTTCATTTCCCTCTGTGGAGGATGAAGTATACCCGGAATAGATCTACTGTTGTTTATAAGCATTCTTTAACAAATGAACCAGATGCCTGAGGTTTGTTGTATACAGCTTAAGGCCACAAGTAAACTGGCTGTAATATGGGGAATGTCAGTGCCCAATCTAAAAGTATGCTGCTTTTGAAACCTACGATCTTCTCTATAAAAAATAGCACTGACACAATTTCACATGATGAAACTAAGTGGTAATATCTCATGGTATCTGACAAATAATCGAGGACCTGTGTGTATCTATTCTCGAGTGCTGAGCAGCTTTTACATTATTGTCAAGTTTACCCTAGACCATTGACACAGAGACAGAGATTAAAGCTTTGGCCTAAATGACAGACTTAAACACTTGTTGCCCCCTGATGCATTGAAAATAAGGCGCTCCGCAGGCATACTAGTCGCCCCTATATCATTTGAGACAAAAATATATAGAATTGAGATAATCGACTTTAACGTCTATGTTTGAATATTTAGATAAATTTGTTTGTTCTGTCTCCAGAATTCCGGAATTTATGTTCCGTATATGACTCTATTTTTTGTAACATCACATCACTTCCTGCTTTGTTTTGAAAACATTGTGACAATAATTTCATGTTCTTTCCTCACTGTCTCGTAACGTGGTAAGTTTTTTATATTGATAATATTGTCAAACATATTTTATTCTACCCCTGTTAATGTTTTTTATTTGATATTCCTATTGTAAAGATAATTTTGAGATACGAGTTGTTTATAAATCTCCCGGTTAAATTTTAAATCTATGGAACGCCATTCGTGACATTTATGTATTCGTCGTCACTACTTGTAGTATGTATGGCACGCCATTTGGGACATTTTTGATTAAAATTTTATTTTTGAGCAGAGAAACATTTTATGAATGCTTTTATGATGTTTTGATCATATTGTAAAGGTTGTTTATTTTTTCTTTTCAGTTTTTACCTTACACTAGAATGATGCACTACGCACCCATTTGATGTCTTTTCGGTGCCTTATATGAATAAAGTTGTGCAATTAAAATTCTTGTTGGTTATCTGGTTGTTTATCCTAGAAACAGCACAGTAAAAACACGAGACAATGGATTCACAACATGGGAAAGGTGATAACACGGATCCAAGAAAACGCACTCTCACGGAACGTGGACTTGACCTTTATAGAGCTAACGTGAATACTCATTCAAAGAAGATTGAACTCGTACAAACTGAAGTAGAACTTTACCTTGAGAGATTTTCAACGACAAAGCAAGAAGACACCAACACATTGTTAGAATTAAAGACAACTTTAAATTTGTGTTACTGTAAATACAGTCTTTTATTCAGATGAATATATAAAATTTCTCAAGAACACTAAAACAGAAGAAACTCTCCAAGTGTATGAGGAGCACAAAATTGAGGATGCAAAGTACAAAAACATTTTAGAACGAGCACTTCAACAAATGAAAGTGTCTGACAAGGATGAAAAAGAATCTACATTTACACATAGATCTAAAGCACATTCTAGAACTTCTTCAGACTCAAGCTCAGTTGCAATCAGAAAGCGTGCAAAGGCAGAAGCAGCCCAGGCTAAGCTTGAATTCGCCATGAAGGAGGCAGATTTACAAAAACAGAAGGCTTACATAGAAGAGCAAGAAAAAGTTGCAAGTGCAAAGACATTTACTAAAAAGGCTGAGTTGGAAGCTGAATTTGAACTGCTCAACTATAAGAAGGAAGCAGCGGCCGCTACTGCAGAGGCTGATGCGCTTGAATATGACCAAAATGTTTGTGGTAGTAAAAAGTCTGATCTTCTATCAAAAACTGTTTATGAACGAACTAATCGATATGTAGAACAGCAGGTACTTTAAGTAAAAGATGGAAAATTACCGTCAGATGATAATATTGTACCATGTGATCCATTTGCAAATCAGACATCAGGCGATGCAGTCCATGAACATTCACATATGCCAACACCAAAACCGTCTCGCCCAAAATATGATGTGCCAAGTGTAAGTGCCGGTTGTCATGATAACGATATAAATATACAAGTTCAAGAACATGCATTGAATCCTAATGCACCTCAGTTTCAACCTGACATACGCACACATCAGAACGCACCTCAAATTCAACCTGACATAAGCACACATCAGAACGCACCTCAATTTCATCCTGATATAAGCACACATCAGAATATTGCTACAGATCTCACACGATTTCTTCTAAAGAAAGATTTGCTATTATCAAGATTAACAACGTACAGTGATAGACCTGAAATGTACGCTGTATGGAAGGCTAGTTTCAAAAACATATTAAGTAAACTTTCTGTTACAGCGATGGAAGAGTTAGATCTTATGGTGAAATGGTTAGGTCCTGAATCTACACGGCATGCAAACAGTATTAGAGCATCAAATATTCATGATCCAATGAAAGGATTACAACGTTTATGGGAACGCTTAGATGAACGTTACGGTTCTCCAGAGTCAGTTGAAGCGTCATTAATGGCCAAATTAAACAATTTCCCGAAATTAACACAGAAAGACAACAAAGAACTGTATGAGTTAGTCGACATTCTTTCTGAAATAGAATCCATTAAGGAAGATTCCAAGTATAATTCACTGTTAGCGTATTTTGACTCCTCGTCCGGGGTTCTCCCTATACTGAATAAACTTCCGTATAACATACAAGAAAAATGGACAAATAGAGCATCTCAGTATAAAAGAGAAAAACAAGTAACCTTTCCACCATTTATAGGCGAGTGACTTTAACCATAAAATTAAATTTTTAATGCACCCACCTAACACACGGCTAAATTATATATCATTTGAAAGCAACACATCTGTACTATCTGTTTTGCCCGGTCGTAAAAAAATCGTACGGTGCAATTTTCGTCAATCAAGATCAAAGGCCAAGGACGAATAAGTACATATTTTCTAAGATTTCAGCTTGATTGCATCATATGACTTTTATATACTAAATTCACATATGCAAACTATTTAAACTTTTAGCAGAGAGATTAATGGTCATTAATCAAATGCATTTTAAAATATTTAAAACGTGTTTTTGATAGACAGCACATGTTTCCTGAAATTCGAGTAAAAGGTAACAAAATGTGTGAAAAGTTTTCTTTCTGATGCAACTGCTTATCACTTAAAACTAAGTAAAACCTTGTAATAACTATCAAAGAAGTTTTCGACATCATAAATTTCCTAAAATTATGCTTACTTCTAATCAAACAGCAAACCATAACAACTCATGCAGTTGCCCAAAATACCGCCATCTGCAAAAAAAACAGCTTCTAAGCATTTCTTCCTATTTAAACATTGTATGTGGTCAATATAAGATTCAATAAACAAATTCTTAAGAATCTGAAAAATTTAAAGTAAAAAATATGTGTGCGAATCATACTATTGCTTGAAATAAAGGGGGCGAAACTAAGAGATTGCAATCAACTACCAGACAGAAATAAACATCTTTTGACTTTTCTAATTGTTTGATTTGTAGCTTCATTGTAAATATTGATGTAGTGAAAAGACCTTTTGTTGATTTAATGTGAACCATAAAAAATAAATTGAAAATTTAGACAAAAATAAATAAAAAATAAATTGATGAAAATTGAAATTAAAAAGAATTTAAAAACCAGTAAACACATTATAAAACTTGACTTCTTGATTGCTTAAATTGTGTTGTTCATTGTTTAAATGCATTAATTCATCAAATAAGAATAGTTTTGAAGAAAAAATTCCATTAATACGCAACGATTCTAGTTACAACTAGACTTTCTGAATAGCTTGAATGACTAGTTCATTTTCCATACGAGGATGACTTCATGCAAGAGCTTCTGATGACGACTGAAAAGAAGCTACCATTATCTTGAAACTTCACTTTCCACTATAAAGAGATGAGCATAAATCAACCCATAAAAACACTCCTTACTAACCAATTATTAACTTTTTATTTCTACGTAGCAACATTATAGCAACACCTGAATATCTATACTATTAAAGGAGGAGACCGATTTCATTGAGCCTCAACTCCTCTGAAACAATAACAAGTCGGAATATTTATGATATGACGTATAAATGTAGGGTTTTGCATTTCCTAAATTTGTCTTTGAATGCTCAGTCGACGTACTGCCCGCAAAATTAAATAAATCTCTTTATTTAAACACTTGCCCAATTGTAACGCGATTTCGCGGCATCTTCTTGTGGAGTATATATCTCCAAGTTAATACAATATTCCAGAGCTTGCATTAACTTTCACGATTGTCGTGATAGTGCGTAATTGCTCACAATGAAGAAATTAAATAAAGGCAACTATAGTATATCGCTATTCAATAGTCATCAATCGATTTACTAGTAACTGAAACAAATCCGGATCACAAACCAAAACCTTGGGAAACGCATCAACTATAAGAGGAACACAACGGAATAACAGAAACACTGAACTGCTACAAAAACAAACATTAACATACAAAGAAACAGATTATTCGATACCAACTGCCATATGCCTGACTTGGTACAGGACATTTGAAGAAAAATGGTGGTTTGAACATGGTTTTAAACCAGAGTTCAAATGCAAAGTTGAAATCATCCCTTTGAAAATTTAATGGACGCCACTACGAGTTGGTTGACAATTATGAAATATCTGTTTTGCCAGATGACGACTGATAAGTTCCAATCGACGTAACCAAAATACCGTCATTTCTGCCTTGAATGTCACCTACCGAATAAGGCTTGGCAACGAGGTAGGAATTACACGAGCCACAAGACGGGTGTCACATGTGGAACATGATCTGCTCACCCTTTTAGAGCACCTGAGTTCACCCCAAATATTTTTGCGGGGTTTGTGTTACTCAATCTGTAGTTTTATATGTTGTGTTTTGTATACTGTTGCTTGTCTTGTTCGTTTTTTGCCCGGCTTTGTCAGTTCGTTTTCAATTATGAGTTTGATGTCCCTTTGATATATTTCGTCACTCTTCAAGTAGTTAAAGTTTTACAAATTGTAGATCATTGTAGTTCAATGTATCATGATAACGATTTGGTTCTATATATATATCACCGTCAGCAAATTAAGTTATTTTCGCGGATATTTGTCTTATTGCGTTAATCTTCTTCACTTTACTTTGAGGCGATTTTTTACCAAAGGGACAATCAACATCTCAAACCATGAATCAAATAAACTTAATTAAAACCATGAACAAAAAAATTTTATTAAAACCATGAACAAAATAAAATTAACGTCCAAGAGACGAACAACAGTCCACAAAACACAGCACAGCATGAAAACGATCACTGCCTAAAACAGCGAATGATTTTATGAGGTCAGGAAGGTATTCAACTTTTTCATTTTTTTTATTTCACAACTGCTTATAGTATTTTACATACACAATGACCTGCATTTGTATTTTAAAAGCTTATGTTGAAAATCCTATCTCTATACCTTTAAAATTTGGTTTGTGAGAATAAAGATATATAGATTCGAAGCATCTTTTATTCAAATAATTAAAGAGATTAAACTTCTAAACACATTTAATATGTCTAACACGATTTTAAACTAAATAAGAAGCAGCAGCATTGTATGTAGTTCGTTTACATCCCGCTTTAGACAACTAAGTGTTTCTAAACAAGGTTACTTATTTCAATGTTGCCTACGATTTAGTCGCAAAGTCATGTTTGCATTTAAACATGATTAAAAAAAGTAAATAAGTTTGACTTCGTAAAAAACATATTTTTACCTCAATTAGCTCGTATATATTCTTTTCGAACTTTAAATACCCCTTCTTTTATTATGGAAAATCATTCTCCTCTCTGATATTGACAATTACCGATGTGCTATTTTAACATAGAATAACAAAATGATCGTTATTTGCAGATGGCAGATTTTTGGGCAACTGCAACCACTTCAATAGAAGGCTGTTCTATGAACAATAATTAATAATTGCATCTTAAAATTACAAAACAAATATTCCTTGACCTAAACATATTATTTATCTATTTTTTTAGCATACAAATATCCATCCCCCAAGATATATTTTGCTCTCGGAACAATTTTTCATTTTTTTAGGATTTGTGATGAATTTCAATTTTCGGGAAATATTGCGCATATAACCTCTTATTTTTTGTTTGATTTGGAAATAATGTATTATGTTATATAAAGTTCATATGATCTTTTGAAAAAAATTATGGTACAAGAATTAGAAAATGGCTTTTTGTTTAGTAATCGGAAATTGGAATGTTTTATCATGACCTTTGACCTTGATTTAACAGAAAATGCACCGTACGATTTTTTTACGACCGGTTAAAACAGAAAGTACAGATTATTAGCTTTCGAATGATATATAATACAGCCGTGTGTTAGGTGGGTGCATTAAAGTCGTTTACTAAACGTCTTTTTGAAATAAGTCACTCGCCTATTACATTTTTTGTGATGTTTATTAGAGAATTAAGCCAGATTAGAAACGACACTAGTTTCGCGTATGATCAGATAAACCAACCGAAAAACTCATACACAGCTGCTAAATCGCCAGCATATAAGACAGCTATTTCAGTTCACAAAACCGAAGTTTCTAGTGACCTTGATTTACAAAAACAATGTCTTTTACATAATACTGGACACTCATTAAACCAGTGTAGAGCATTCAAATCTAAACCTTTCAAAATACGTATGAAGTTTATCAATGATAATAGAATTTGTTACAGTTGTTGTGAATCGACAAAACATGTGAAACGAACATGTACTATCGCAATTAGTTGTAGTGAATGTGGCAGTGACCGCCACCCTGGAGCATTACATATTAATCGCTCTAACGACTCGATAGATCAGGAAAATAATAATGAAAGTTTGCCTGTCCACGGCGGGG